TGGAATTCGTCAAGTCAGCCTGGGGAGCAAAAGACGGGAAGCCAAGCCGAAAAGCGGAGACGTAAGCTAGGTTGGAATTCGTCAAGTCAGCCCGGGGAGCAAAAGACGGGAAGCCAAACTGAAAAGCAGAGACATAAGCTAGGCTGTGATTCACGGAAGCCGCCACGCGCAGAGAGAGTGCGCGGGGCACAAGCGGAGAGAGCGCATGGGGCGCGAGTAGATAGGAGAGCGCGGGGCTGGTGCGGAGGCTGTGGTGTGGACGCGAAGGGCGCGGAGACCGTGGAGCACGCGCGAAGCCAGGAAGCCACACAGATAAGAGAAGTGCGGGCTGAAGCTGTGCAGAGCCAGGAAGCCGCTGCGGTGCGGGGTGCTGAGAAGCCGCCGCGGGGCGGGCGCCGGGAAACCGCGGGGATAAGAGAAACAGAAGTATAGAAGTAAAATGAGAGAAATAGGAATGCTGGCAGATAGAAGTAAAATAAGAGAAATAGGAATGCCCGGAGATAGAGAAATAGAGAGAAATAAGGCCTCCCCACAACACGGCAATGAGAGGGCTTGGATTCGGTCTGCCTGATTAGTAAGACGATAAGCACCTGCGGGCGGCTAGCAGAATATCTGCTGCAGGTCACCGAAGACAGGCACATTATCAACACCAATAAGTCTCCCCACAAGACAGCAATGAGAGAGCTGGGATTTGGTTTGCCTGATTAGTAAGGCGATAAGCACTTGCATGCAGCTCGAGCAGAGCATGCACTGCAGGGCACCGAACACAGGCACACATCAGCGCCTAAAAACCTCCTCACAACATGGCGAAGAGAGGACCCGGATTCGGTTTGCCTGATTGGTAGGGCTTGTAAGCACCTGTGGGCAACTCTAGCAAGCAGAGCAGAGTGTGTGCTGCGGGGCACTGAAGACAGGTGCGTATCAACGCCAAAGAATAAAAAGAAAGGGGGAACTGTGGGGAGCAACTTGGACTAGACTAAGTTACTGGAATTAAGACTTATTCTATGCATCTGCTCTCCCACAATATGGCGCTGGGAGAGGAGTAAACAACTTTTACACAGCTGCCTCTCGCCAGTTTGACTGATGAGCTGCAGGAGCTGATCCTGCTCCTGATTGGAGGAGAGCAGCGTGCTCGGCATGTGGGTAGCAGAGTTGGGATTGGTGGAAGAGGACTATAAAGGAGGAGAGAGACAACATGCACCAGGAACATCTATCTGAAGGAACACCTGTGCAGCCCCCGAGAGAGCCAGCCAGTGGTGTGCCGCTCCCCCGTGGAAGTGGGGAAAGTGGCAGGGGGAACCGCCCCTCCACGGAGGTGGAGAGGTTGCCAGCCAACCCGGGAAGGACCAGCAGCAAACCCGGGAAGGGCCGAGCAGACAAAAGAACAGCACAGGGTCCTGTGTCGTTCCTCCACGAAGAGGGGGAGCGACAATAGTCCAAATATAATTGGGCTTTTTCTGTTCTTTTCATTATTTGCTTCATGCATTTTGGTTGCTAGATTAGGTTGCATTATTTTAAATTTGGGGACATTTGCCTAAAATTAATAATTATTATTATATTTATTATTATAATTAATAATAATTGGAAGTAGTTTGACCCTTTCAAGTTTTGCTTTTGGGATTTCTTCTGGATGTTAAAATACATGAAAAATGTGGTAATTTAAGCCACAGAATAGCAGAATCTGTTTACAATGCATAAATACAAAATATGACCAGTATCCAGAGTAAATGAAGAACCTCTGCCAATCTCTATGAAAGCAGCGAGTAGTCCTTAAAGAAATGGACAAAAAGTTTAATCAGAATTGTCCCAAAAGGGGAAAATCCAAATACTCTGTAAACATGGAAATTACTGTTTAATCTCTTTAATTCTGAAATTTGGGGGAAAAAAACTTACTTTTGAAATTGGCGGAAAGTAAGAACTCTAAAAATAGCAAGAGCTGTACTGCACCAGAGACCCTAATTCACTGGTCATTGACATGTGGACTGGTGCAACTGCTTTTGAAAATTGGGAGCACTGTGAGTGTGTAGTGAACTTAAACAAGTCAAAAACCCACCAGCAGATAAATGTAGAAATAAACTGTGGCACATTTGTTGTGTGGAAAGCTGTACATACAACAGAGAGAATAGACTAAATAAGCTCTGAGCAGAAATATGGATGGAATTCACTAATGTTGAGCAAAAAAATAAGATGATATGGCAGTGTCAAGCTCCGTATTCAGTTTAAGTGCAATTAAATTGTGCACTTTTAGAACTGCCTGTGTGGTTTGTGAAACTCTGGAGGTAGAGTGATGAGTTCGTGACATGCTCAGAAAGCGTACAGAACGTTGTGCTCCAGGAAGCACCACCAGGTTTCCCTGTTGGAGTCACTTTCAGTTTCTTGACCTGGATAAGGCTCCAGAGGTGCACACCCTGGCATCAGCTAACCTTCATAAAAGAAATCTAGAAAGTTATGAACCAAGCTGTGGAAGACATCTGTTACCAGTCAACCCCAGAAAGGTGTTTGCTTGTGTGATGGCCGAAAGATGCAGATGGCGAGTGTCTTCATACAGTTGCCCTGGGCCCTGCTGAGTGCAGGCAGCTCATCTTCATCTCGTTTTTCTTCAAAGAACCCATTACCAAAAACAGTTGAGTATGCATAATCTGGAAATCTTAAATCCAAAATGCCACAACACCTGCAACATTTGAGCATTCTACTTCTCCATGGGGATTCAGCCCGCATGTCATTCAGGTTCTTGAGATGTCTAGATTCCCGCGCAGTCTTGGCCAGCTTAGACAGTCAAAGGACCCCCAGAAACAAAGCCTGAATTTGGTGTCCTCCAGGGTCCTGATGTCCATTACACCTTTCCAAATATAAGCCCTCGCAGACCCACAGACCTCTGGGGTAGGACCTGCCTAGCTGGGACATGCAGACCAAGCTACTCATAGCACCTTATGGGGTATGGCCAAGCCTATGGGTGGACAAGCAGGAAAGCCAGCACCCCTAGGTAAGGAGAGTTGATTGGAATAGTTCTGAGGACTTCCTTGTGCCAAGCCCACCCCTCCCCAGGTATTCTGAGAGCACAGGGGTCTGACGGATGGAAACTGTCAGAGGAGACATGAAAAACATTGTTTACAAACATAGTCCCTTTGGGACAAGAGAAGACAGGGACACAGGTGCAGTTAGGTATGTAGCACTGCAGGCTTCCAGCTGTGAGCTGTCCTCTTACCACCCAAGTTAGGAAGAAGCCGCCAAATATCCTGTGGCTCTCAGTCTTAGCTGAGAGGGAAGCCCACAGTCACCCACTGACCTTTACTTCAGCCTGGAGAGCTGACTGGTGTCAGTCAGAACCCTGGAGATGCAGCCCTTCCTTTGTTTTTGTTTTTGTTTTTTGACAGGCAGAGTGGAAAGTGAGAGAGAGAGACAAAGAGAAAGGTCTTCCTTTGCCATTGGTTCACCCTCCAATGGCCGCCGTGGCCGGCACACAGCGCTGATCCGAAGCCAGGAGCCAGGTACTTATCCTGGTCTCCCATGGGGTGCAGGGTCCAAGCACTTGGGCCATCCTCCACTGCACTCACTGGCCACAGCAGAGAGCTGGCCTGGAAGAGGGGCAACTGGGAGAGAATCCGGCGCCCCAACTGGGACTAGAACCTGGGGTGCTGGTGCCGCAGGGCGGAGGATTAGCCAAGTGAGCCGCAGCGCCGGCCCCTTCCTTTGTTCTTTTCATGTCCCACATGCTCAGGTTAGAGCGTGTGTGTGTGTGTGTGTGTGTGTGTGTGTATGAACCTAGAAAGCAAGGTCCTTGGAGCCGGGAACACAGAGCCCACTCAATTCCTTAAAACCAGGTGTAGGCTGATAGGAGACATTGCTGCTCCCCGCGGGTTTCCACTGGGGACAAATGTGACCTTTACTCCTATGCCGTCCTCAAAGCAGGGACCCACCCTGTGGATTCTGATTCATTACTCCTGCCACTTGGTTGATATAAGCACATCTAGAAGCCAGAGCTTAGATGCAGAGACAGAAGGCTCCTGAGGCAGAATGGGCTTTGCATAGAAGCTCTTAAGTTCCAATTCCTGGTTCACAGTTAGGGTTCAAAATAAGGGACTCGTGGATTCTCAAGTAATACTGTTCTTCTTGAGGATAATACATGGACTGGAAGATAGATTTCTCAGTCATTTGATCTTTATCCCTTATTATCAGGTGGGAACATCAGGATTGACAAATACAAGCCCTGGCCCTGGCTGGACTCTGGGGAACCATGAGCCTTCAAGACGCGGCACAGGGTGGCACGGGATGCCCATCAACACTAATGCGAGTCCTGACTGTAAACTCGGGACCACTGATGCCTGCACACCTCTTAGCCTAATAGAGTGAAACACTCCACTGCTCCCTGGTACCATACACATTTCCCAGGCCTTATTTTGATAACTTGTTCATAAGACTGACTGCTGTGTTTTTGAAAGCAGGGCATATAGGAGCAGCTTGTTCTACAGCAGCCAGGAATGTCCTTCCTCCAACCTGCATATCATTGATTATTATTAAAAGGGGTAAAGGTACTGAGATGGTTAGGGCCAAGGGAGTAGATCACAATATGTCCTTTGGGATAATACAAATGGATTTATGTAAGAAAGAGGCCCAGAGATTAAACATGACAATAGGTCTGATCTGATTTCATCATCATTTAAAAAAAATCATCTATTATTTTTCACTTTATGTTTCTGTGTGGGAGCAAACTGTTGAAATCCTTACTTAATGTATACTAAGCTGATCTTCTGTATATTAAGATAATCGAAAATGAATCTTGATGTGAATGGAAGGGGAGAGGGAGTGGGAAAGGGGAGGGTTGTGGGTGGGAGGGACGGTATGTGGGGGAAGCCATTGTAATCCATAATTCGTACTTTGGAAATTTATATTCATTAAATATAAAAAGTTAAAAAAAAAAAAAGAAAGAGGCCCAGAGTCCAAAGGTGAGTAAATGTTTCACAAAATGTTCATTAAATGTTTTCCTGGGTGACCTTCCTCAGAAACTCCAGCAAGACATGCATTGTGACCCTTTAAACGAAAGCAGCATTTCTCAGTTCCCGTGCTTTACGACAGCAGTGTGCAAGCAAGATCAGCTATTCCGCAGAACAGCTTCAGCGAGCACTAAACCAGGTAACTTTAACTTTTCCAAAATGTTTCTGTAAGGTAGGATGGTACGTTTTGGGAAATCCAGTTTTTTCAATGTGACAAAATAGAATGGGGCTGCTTTAGGCCAGCACTGAGGCTCACTTGGCTAATCCTCCGCCTGCGGCACCAGCACCCCAGGTTCTAGTCCCTGTTGGGGTGCCGGATTCTGTCCCGGTTGCTGCTTTTCTAGTCCAGCTCTCTGCTGTGGCCCAGGACTGCAGTAGAGGATGGCCCTAGTGCTTGGGCCCTGCACCCGCATGGGAAACCAGGAGGAAGCACCTGGCTCCTGGCTTCGGATCAGAGCAGTACACCAATCATAGCGGCCATTTGGGGGGTGAACCAACGAAAAAGGAAGACCTTTCTCTCTGACTCTCTCTCTTGCTCTCACTGTCTAACTCTGTAAAAAAAAAAAAAAAAAGAATTGGGCTGCTTTCTTCAGTTTTTTGGAACAGAGGATAACTAACTTGACAGAAAGGACACAGGAGCAAGAAAGTGTCAGGTGTGTGGCATTCCTCATTCCTCACAGCCACTCCGGGGTAGATATCCATCATCCCACAGATAGGGAGTCTGACAGGAAATACTCAGTACCACACCCATGGTCCCATGGGCAGGAAGTGAGGTGACGGGGCTGATGTTGAGAGGCAGATCTTTAGAACGCTGAGTTCCCCAGCTCAGCGCCAGGAAGCCAGCAGAGCAGAAGAGAACTGATTTTGTCTTCCTGGCCACCCAAGTAACCAATGCTGAGGAGCGGTTGTAAAAGTCATTCATCTCACAAAGAGTGAGAACAAAAGAGGCCCCACATCAGCTTTTCATGGTGGACAGAAAGTCATCTTTCTGCATAAGATAGCGTGGGAGGCCGGCGCCGCGGCTCACTAGGCTAATCCTCCGCCTAGCGGCGCCGGCACACCGGGTTCTAGTCCCGGTTGGGGCGCCGGATTCTGTCCCGGTTGCCCCTCTTCCAGGCCAGCCCTCTGCTGTGGCCAGGGAGTGCAGTGGAGGATGGCCCAGGTGCTTGGGCCCTGCACCCCATGGGAGACCAGGAAAAGCACCTGGCTCCTGGCTCCTGCCATCGGATCAGCGCGGTGCGCCGGCCGCAGCGCGCCGGCCGCGGCGGCCATTGGAGGGTGAACCAACGGCAAAGGAAGACCTTTCTCTCTGTCTCTCTCTCTCACTGTCCACTCTGCCTGTCAAAAAAATAAAAAAAAAAAAAAGATAGCGTGGGAAAAAATAGGAAATTCATTTTGCTGGAAGTTCAGTTGCAAATAAAGGAAAATCCCACTCAGGGAAAAAGTGAAATGAAAGGAAGTCCATCCTGCTCATATGGACCCAGGAAAGCTGGTGGTGTGCTGCAGTGCACGTCCACATGCCTGAGGGAGTACTTAGCGTAAGTCTCAGTGCAGGGCAAGAGAAGACCGGCGCCCCAGCTCGTTCAGGCAGAGGACAAGGTGGGTGTCCCTCCTTTCCCTTTTGCTCCAGCCAGGTTCTCACGGGATTGAGTGAGGCCTACCCACACTTTGGAGAGCTAAGTGCTTTACTGAGTCCACCAATTCAATTGCCAATCTCCTTGGGAAACACCTTCTCAGACGTAGAAGTGATGTGTATTTCATATCTGGGCACCACGTGATCCAGTCAAGTTCACACAGATGCTTAAGTATCTCACCAAGTCTTTATAGGGGCATATGTACACCAGGCCACCATTCCTTAAAACATCCTTGGCAAAGGGTGGGTTTGCTTTTGTTTTCACCTCCTGCTGCCCACTGTGGACTGGTACTTGTGTGAAATTCAGTAAAAATGAATCACTGGAAAAATGACACAAAAGTAGACATAAAATACGACTTGTTAAAGTCTTTATTAAGTGGGGGATTAAGCTTGTGATTATAAAGTAAATAAAAAGTATGTCATTGTAAAAATTAAAAGAAAAATAAGATAAAGAGAAAGGAGGGGGGCCGGCGCCATGGTGCACTAGGTTAATCCTCCGCCTGCAGCACCAGCATCCCATATGAGCACTGGGTTCTGGTCCCAGTTGCTCTTCTTCCAGTCCATTTCTCTGCTGTGGCCCGGGAAAGCAGTGGAGGAAGGCCCAAGTGCTTGGGCCCCTGCACCCATGTGGGAGACCAGGAAGAGGCACCTGGCTCCTGGCTTCAGATCAGCGTAGCTCTGGCCGTGTGGCCATTTGGGGGGTGAACCATCAGATGGAAGACCTTTCTGTCTCTCTCACTGTCTGTAACTCTACCTGTCAAATAAATAAATTAATTAAATATTTTTAAAAAATAGAGAAAGGAGGGTGGGGTGGGAAGTATCATGCTCTTAAAACCATGTACATATAAATTTTATATATAAATTAAAAATAATAAATTATTTAAAAATACAATTCTCAATTTTTAAAAATCTTTGAAATTTATTACACTTCACATTTCTAAACTTTCCAACTACCATGCTGAATCAAAACTCAATAGACTGAAGTAAAAAAATATGAAAAATTGGAAAGGCTACCTGATTTCATTTTTGTGACACACTGTATAATACTAAAAATCTATTTTAATAGAGCAAAAAGAATTGCAGTTACTAAATATCATTTTCCCTCATACCACAAAAGAACTATTGGAAGAAGCTGACATTTATGAGAATCTAATTTAGTTTAGGGTTTAATTAAGCATTTCATAGGATTATATACATTAATAAGACACACCAGCAGGTCACATTTATGTCATGTTGGTGTTTACTTGTCATAAACATCAGAATCATGACTGTATGTTACAATAATTGATTCACATATAAGATGTGTCAGCCTTGTTATTGTTTGTTATATCACAATTTGTGTCTTGTTCTCTGGCAAATGTGTTTGAAGAAGATAACTGTTTTTACTAGTGGAAAGGATAATCTTGTTTTTCTTGGGTAAAACACTTTTCTTCCGTCTTCTCTACACCTTTCCTAGCATTTCCCTTGTCTTTTCCTTCAGAACAGTAGACCACAGAACCATATGAAATGTAAGGGAAATGTATTCTAAGTTTGGGGAGTAGGCACAGTGCTTTCATTGTGGATTCTATATGCACAATAGTGTGTTTACCAACTGCTCCATAGGTCTCTTTTTAAGTCATTTAACAGCCTACAATCCATTTTGTCCCTAAAACACACTTTGGGAAATACAACCTTCTCTTATAAGATTTTTTTTTCTTTTTTATCAGCAACATGGGAAAAAATGAAGAGCTAAGAATAACAAAGGTAGAGAAGGGCTGCTCCTTGTCTACCTTTGTTACCTGCTGTTTCCAACCAAGGTAAAGAACCATGGGGGAACAACCAAAAGAGACGCCCAGCAACATTGAGAGGACAATGATGATGAACTTAAGTTATCTTAATGATGGTAAAGTTTGTCTAGGAAGTATGAATGGAGAATTTGCTGAATTTGCTAAGGGTTGAAGAATATTTATGGATGTATTAGGTGGTGAAAATTAAGGCATTCTGGGGAAGCATTTATTTATTTATTTATTGACAGGCAGAGTTAGTCAGTGAGAGAGAGAGACAGAGAGAAAGGTCTTCCTTTTTCCATTGGTTCACCCCCCAAAGTGGCCACTACGGCCGACGCATTGCAGTCGGCGCTGTGCCAATCCAAAGCCAGGAGCCAGGTGTGTCTTCCTGGTCTCCCATGCTGGCGCAGGCCCAACACTTGGGCCATCCTCCACTGCCTTCCTGGGCCACAACAGAGCTGAACTGGAAGAGGAGCAATTGGGACAGAACCGGCGCCCCAGCCGGGACTAGGACCTGGAGTGCTGGTGCCACAGGCGGAGGATTAGCCTAGTGAGCCACAGCGCCGGCCAACAAAAGCTTCTAACAGCTCTCCAATTCTATACAAGCAGCCCTGAACGTATGCGTTTTGAAAATATTAGCAAATAAGGGGCCAGCATTGTGGCGAAGGTGTTTAAGCTACCACCTGCAAAGTCAGCATCCCATATGACTGCTGGTTTGAGTCCTAGCTGTTCCACTTCTGATCCAGCTCCCTGCTGATGCCCCTGGGAAAGAAGTAGAGGATGGCCCAGGTACTTGGGCCCCTACAACCACAAGGGAGACCTAGAAGAAGCTCTTGGTTCCTGGCTTTGGACCAGCTCAACTCTAGCCATTGCAACCATTTTGGGAATGAACCAGCTGATGGAAGATGAATCTCTTTGTCTCTCCTTCTGTCTCTCCACCTTGCGGTGCTGGCACACCGGGTTCTAGTCCCGGTCGGGGCACCCGATTCTGTCCCGGTTGCCCCTCTTCCAGGCCAGCTCTCTGCTGTGGCCCGGAAGTGCAGTGGAGGATGGCCCAAGTGCGTGGGCCCTGCACCCCCATGGGAGACCAGGAGGAAGCGCCTGGCTCCTGCTTTGGATCGGCGCAGTGCACCGGCAGCAGCAGCCATTTGGAGGGTGAACCAACGGAAGGAAGACCTTTCTCTCTGTCTCTCTCTCTCACCGTCTAACTCTGCCTGTCAAAAAAATTGTTTAATAAAATGAAATAAAAGTAATAAATGGCTTGCTGTAAACCATCCACCAAGCATCTGATCTTGCAGAGTATTAATAAAGTTTCCATTGTGCTGTGCTCCCTGAGTCTGAGTTTATTCTTTGAGTGGACAGGTGAGGCTGTTTCTCACAGAGGGAATGGAGAAAAGTCCTCTACGATGGATGTAAGATGTGAAAGAAGGGAGCAAGTGGACAACAGAATGGCAGGGCTGGGGCCTATGGCTGAGGGAGGAGCGTGGCACAGCCTCCTCATGTTGTCCCCTCCCCACCTTCACAAGCCCTTTGTGACTCTCCCGTGCTCTGTGATGTAGGCCTGGGACTTTGGTGGAGCCTGCACACTCTCAGAACTCAGTTGCCTCAGAGAGCCATGCAGTTCTGACAATGGAGCAGGTTCTCTTGTTTCTAAAGAGCCACGCTGAGCCCTGGCAAAGCTTCAGCTCCGTGTACTTAGATGCTGTCCCCAGCTGCATCTTTCTGATTGTGATGGGGCTGCTGCTTCTCTACCTTTGCTACCTGCTGTTACCAACCAAGGTAGGGAACCATGGGGGAACCCCCAGGAGAGATGCTTTGTTGGTGGTGCTTTCCATTTCTAGTGTCACATGTCTACAGAAATGTGGTTGGGTCAGAGATGGCTCAGAAGGGAAGTGTGAGGAAAGGACAAGACCTCGCTCTTGTAGGGGAACAGGTTGGGCAGGGACAGGGGATTAGGGAGGACTAAGGTTTCCATGTGAAGCTCTCAGAGAATCTTCATGGTGAAGTAGAGGCTGCCAGGACACAATCCCAAACACAGTGAAGCTGTGGTCCTGGCTTGGCTTGATTTGGGAGTTGGATCATCCAACAGAGAGGAGTGTATCTACACCCTACACCATGAGTTCCATTCCCAGAACAGGGGTTCCTTGACCAAGCCTTCCATCATGTTGGGTTGAGACTATTAGAGCCCACAAGCAGATGCTGGAGCCCAAGCTCTGTCCCCAGGACACAAGGTCCTCTGAAAAGTACAGGTGGGACAGCTGGCCACAGATCCTGTGCCAGCAAAGGTCGTCAGACTGTGAGAATACCTGAGGATTCCAGAGACACCATCCTTCTTTCAGTTTTACAAAAAAAAAGGAGCATTTGAAAATATTTGATCACCTTGAAAAAATAAAAAATAAGGAGGAATACCCCATTTTGATTAAAATAAGGAAGTGTAGGAGTCCTGAGAAATGAGGTGCAAATCATCCTGGAGAAAAAAGTGAGAGAATTGTGTCTCAACCCACCCACTCCCCATTATTTTGTGTTCTCAGCATCGGAGCAGAACCAAGAGGAAGAGGAAAGGTGGAACATTTACAGGTAAGGTTCTGCTCATTCGACCCAAACCCTCCAAGGATGACTCTTCCTATCCCTTCCATGAAGGTGCAGGTCCATGATCTCTGAGGATGTCAGTCACTAAATACTGTCCCTCAGCAAACAGAAATTGTCAAAGGCCCAGGGAAGGCACTGAGACCTGAAACCTCACGTTGAGAACTGTGCACCCACGAGCAGGAGGCAGAGTTGACATGGCAAATGGGTGCTGCCCAATACATGGTGACATGAGATGTTGAGGAAGGATTACTGCATGTTTGAAGCCAGAACTTCTACTTACAGCTTTGTATAAGTCCTTTAACATCCTGAGTGGTCACATTCCTCTTTGTGGTAACCACTGACACGTCTAGAGAGATTTACACATTTATTTATTTGAAGGAAGAGTGACAGGAACAGAAGGAAAAAGAAAGAGATCTTCCAATGTTAGTTCATTACACTATTGGTAGGCCAGTCTGAAGCCAGTTTAGAAGTCTATCCCAGTCTCCCCTGTCAGTGAGAGGGACTCAAGTACTTGAGCCATCAACTAGTGCCTCACATATATAGAAGGAAGCTGGATTGGAAGGGGAGCAGCCGAAACTTGAACTTGCACTCCAATATGAGATTCAGGCATTCCAAGTGCTGACGTAAGATGCTGCCCACAAAGCCTGCACCCATGTGGTGGTTCTCAGCATCACCAAGGAATGAAGCAGATTAAAAATACTTTGTTATTGGATGTAGATGCATGTATGACACTTATTAATAATTGTTGACCATTTGATTTTGTCTGTCAACTTTGGGGATTTCAGGGATTCATGACTCAAGGGGCTCCCATAAAAGAATATCCATGCGCTTCTAACTTTTTACATATAACCCACTCTCCTGGTTTCCCAGGTTGGAGATCTCACAAGAGAGAAGTAGAGGAGAGAAGGAAGCTGTCTTCCATTCTGAAAAGGTGAAGAGTCTTCCCCTTCCCTGATTCCTTTTATAGCCTGTTCTATGCATTCCAGGGGAACAGTGTAGCCTGCTCTAGGAGCAGGGAGGAGTAGATGGGGAAGGCTTGAGGAGAAGATAGAAAGTTCATTGTGAAGTCCTGGAAGTGAGGCAGTGTGCAGGGGATAGCAGCTCCCGGGTTCCTCTAACCCCCATAGGTCAGCAGGCCCTCCTTTCCTCTAGTGGTCCTGGCTACAACTTTGTATCTCCTTTCTCCTACAGTCCCCTGGGCCACCACCATGACAGCACACCCTTCCGTCACATGTTGTGTCCAGAGCCCTCCTGTGAGGTGTGTAATAGAACAACAGCAGAGATCCAGCAGCTGCTGTCCCAGGGGTCCCTGCAACATGCTGCTCTCTCTCAGTGTTTTTCACCATCCTCTGATTCTATGATCGAGTCCTCAGTAAGTCTCACCTCTGACCTCTTGGCAATAGCTCCAGGAGACCCAATTCCACCCCCTGTGCCTGAGCCTTCTCCATCTCCCTGTTCAACTCTCTCAACTAACCTGGACACCTCCTTTGAAGACTTAACTTCCTCCTCAAATCTTGGTGACTTTCTGCCTCCAGAGCCTACTCCTGGCTTGGATTTCTCATTCCCAGGGGGACATTTTCCAACACAACCGCTTGGCATTCTCCCTCCTCCACCTTGTCCAGGCCAGGAAACAGATCCTGTTCTCCAAGGAGAAGTCACAGTGACTCTGGGGGACAGCGTTTGTGGGTTGCCCACCCATGAGCCAAAAACCAAAGCCACTCAATCTCCTGACATGGCAACATCAGAAATCTGGCCTCAAGGTCATACCAAGCACTTACACATCTCAAACTGGGCACAAGGAGATGCCAAGCAGAATAATCTTGGCCTCCATTCATCCAGGCCATCCATTGAGATTGATCCTGCAGTCAACCTTCCAGGGAGTCTGTTACTTCTCAGTCCAGATACCCTGGAACTCCTAGAGAGACAAGTCAGAAAGAGGGGTGATTTCTTGATACACGAGGAAAAGGAAAAGACAGCAGGACCTTTTCCAAAACAACACAGGCCAGATGTCCCACTTCATTCTCCAGGGAAAATGCTAGAGTCAATTTCTGTCAAGCATGACTTGGCAGTCTCCCTTCCTTTTTGGAGCAGTGAGGACAAACCACAGGAGCTGCAGATGATTCAGCAGCCAGTATCTCCTAAGATGTTTGAGGTCCATCTACAGAGGAAATGTATCCAACTCACCTGGGGTCAACCAGCTCTGAACCATGACTTCCTTTACCCTGCTGGCCTTGTCTCAAGTGGTTGTTCTTCAACCCTAATCGTCTTCAGTAGTATGCAGGACAGCTCCACAGACCAGGAACCCCCAGCGTTTCCAGATCCCCCACCTCTGTCTGAGCCTGAGATCCAAGCTCAACCCCTGCTGCAAGCCATGCCCCAACCCCAGCCCCAAATTCTCACTGAAGACCAACCTCAATCCTTTCTCCTGAACCTGCCACCCTCTCCTGTACCTCAGTGTAACTCCTGTGGTGTACATTTCCTTGGACTCCCAAATGAGGCAGAGGCTCTCATGCCATCTGAAATCCAACACTTGGAACACCACTTATTGACAAAAAAGCAGGAAAGTTTGTGGGATATACCCTCAGTGGTTCTTTTGTCTCAGAAAGACTTTTGTCCCCCTGCTCCCAACCTATCCTTGACAAGCCAGTCTTCCAAGGCTTGCATTCCAATCTGCATTCTTAGTGGAGATTTTTCCCTTCACAGTGAGATTCGGGAGAAACTAGAGCACCACCTTCGGAAGAGGCTAATCCAACATCGGTGGGGCCTTCCCCGCAGGGTCCAAGAGTCTCTGTCATTGATTAACCCTCAGACAGACATTCCTGAGACATCTGAATCAATGGGCAATAAGAGACGCTCAGGAGTGTGTTTGTTTACAGGTCAGAAGAGCACAGATGCAATGGATTTGGAATTCAGAAAACCTGGAAATTTCTATGAAAGGACCTCAGAAATGCTTCCTCTAGAAAAACATGTGAGGAAGTCCCAGGGCCCTGTTTTGAAGAGTGGTTTATATGATCATCTAATTAATGATGCAAAGAAATCTTCAGATATGAGTCCGTGGTCTGTCTCTGAGAGAGAAAGTCACATGGTAAATCTTTCTGGACATAGTTCAAGAGTCTCAGGGATGAGTGTAAATCAGAAACAACTTGAAAATGCCTTGAAAGCCCATTTGAGCAAGAAAGTTATGCAAATCAATGACAGTCAGATCCCTATGAGTGTATATAATTCATGGTATTCTATCAAACAACCATTGCCTCTCCCTGAGAAGTCATATAACCAAGAGGAACACAAAGACTTGGCTCAATTGGTGAGTTTAGACAGTAATATCAATACCTCCTCTGAGATTTCCTTCCTCTGTTCCAGCAAGCTAAAGACATTGGAAGACCATATCAAAAGTTTTCGCAAAAGGATAATGTGGGGACTTCCCAAAAAAATCCTTGAATCCATAGAAATTTTTAAAACAAAAGGGAACCCATCCCAGTGCAGTTGTCATTCAAACTTTCCCTCCTCAAGTAACTTTATCTCTGAGGTTGATTCCCAAGGTAGAGTCTCCAAGCCCATCAGAAGAAGCTCCAGATCTTCACAGGGAGACAAGTTGGAAACAACAGTCTCTGGCCCCAGTCTGGATTTCACTGTCCCTGTCACCTCACCTGTATGCAAGGAAAGACTGAGGGAAATGAGACAAATACCCTGTGATATCTCTCAGGAGCCAGTAGGTAACATTCAGGGGTTTCAGGATTGCAGACAGCATTTTCTGTCTTGCACAAATGGCATCATTGACAAAGCAAAACAGAAACCTCCCAAATTAACAAATAGAAGTAGACCGATGCTGCCCACAAGGCAGGACGGGGATATACCGGAATCATATGCTAAGAAAGAGAGCTCTACAAATAGAACTGAAAGGCTTCAGAGCAAAAATATGCAGAATTCAGAACATTTTCCCACATATATCATGTACAGGGAGATATTCAAGGCAAAGGAACTCTGTTCTCCCCCATCTCCACGTAGTAAAACCTTGAAAACCAATGAGCCAAAAAGCTCCCCAGTAATAGGTGTGACTTTGGAAAAAACACAAACTACCCTGACAACTAAACATCCTCCACCAACACTATCCAAACCTGGAGATCCTGAACTGTCAGACCTTAAAAATCGTATGCTTTGTGAGTTAAAGTTGAAGTTGGCTAACAGAGATTGTAGCCAGGTCCATAGCCATCCCACTGACATGCCTCTGGCCTCAGAGAACTTGAAACCCAAGCCTGTTCTGACACATACCCAAGGCATCTACCCTGGACACACAGCCCCTTCCCAGGTGCTGCATGTCCATATCGACAACACAAGGATAAGGAGGGAGCAGATGCAGGAGCCCTGTGTCCCTGTGTGTGCCTTTTGGAAGGACCAGGATAAGAATCTCCCAGCAGCTTCCAAGACAGTAAGCCCTCCAGAACCCAAACCAGAAGAGCTTGGTGGAGGAGATGCAGGCTTAGGGCCATCCCAACCCAGAAGGAGGATCCATGCTGCTCAGGGTAGGACATTAAAGGACACGCTTGAGAGCAAATATTCCCCATCCCAGCCACTGAAGGGGCAGCCCCCTGCTGAAAGCCATTTCAGAAAACGGATGAAGCACTTTCTGCAGTGGATTTGGCCTAGCAGAAGATGTGAAAGGCAAAATCGTTTCCTGGAACAGGGACGTTCCCTGTCATCTGAGCAGAGCATGGGCCCAGGTAAAAATCAAGCCACCTGCATCGGGAACACTGAGGTTCAATCAGTGAAGCCAGCTAGTGGGAAGGTTCCAGGGAAGAAGCTGGGGCATGATCACGGAACAGGTAAGACCTGCCACCAAGTGCCCCTTTCGACCCAGGTCAAGTTTAGCAAAACTGAGCAGCAGGCAGAATTGCAGATGGGGGCAGCACCTGTCCAGGGCCATCCCTTCAATCACAGGGTCACTTCCTGTAAAGGGACAAGTACCAAGTCCTGCCGCCAAGAAGCTGCATTTGCTGGCCAGAGTTATCCTGCAAGGAATACACACATGAAACACAGAGACAGAGAGCCCAAGAAAGTTGTGCCATTCAGGGACCAGCTATGGTGTCAGAGGTACCCCTCAGCTGTGTCCCAGAGGGAACCTGTGCCACATCCAAGCCCGACCTGCAGGTGTCAGGTTGGCCAAGTGCCGTGAGTTGCCCTTGCCACTGCTGAAGCCTCTTTTAAATAGAAAATGCTTCTCCAGCATTTCCAGGGAGGAAAACTGCCCTGCTAAAATCATTAAATCCTTTTTGAAAATACTGATTTTTCCCAATAAATATTCACAAAGAATGCTGTCTTCTCTGTGTACTGTGTTGGGGGTGTGGGTTTTGGTCATCACAGGGCCTCTGCTTAGAGAAAGGAAGGAGTCAGATAAGCTCTCAGTGTCTGCCTCTGTTGGTGTCTGAAGGGTGACCAGTCCCTTGGAGCTCTATCATGGATGTGTATTTAAGTGCCCTTCCCTCCAAACAAAGTTGGAGAAGACCTCTATTTTTTTTTTATTTGATGGATAGAGTTAGACAGTGGGAGAGAGACAGAGAGAAAGGTGTTCCTTCGCTTGGTTCACTCCCCAGATGGCTGCAACAGCCAGAGCTGCACCAATCCAAAGCCAAGAGCCAGGTACCTCCCCCTGGTCTCCCATGTGGGTGCAGAGGCCCAAGCACTTGGGCCATCCTCCACTGCCCTCCTGGGCCACAGCAGAGAGCTGGACTGGAAGAGGAGCAACCGGGACTAGAACCCGGCGCCCATATGGGATGCCGGTGCCGCAGGTGGAGGATTAACCAAGTGAGCCATGGCACCAGCCCCGAGAAGAGCTCTTTTTACCACTCTCTTAGTTTAATGACATTGTATGGCCACCTGCACCTCTCCCCTCACTGGCTATTTCACATCCCTTAGCGCAGTAAATAAGACGGTTCTTCCAAAAAGCGAGTCAAAAACTGATGTATTTTTTCAGAATACAGTGGCTGATTTATTTTTAGAGTCTGTTATCAGTGACCAGAGGGTCACACCAGTGGGTGTGTCTTGAGTAAGGAGTTCGAGGGAGTATTTCTGCCGGACACTGGGCTGGTTGTGGTGGGGTATGGAATCAGTGGAGATGATCCTTACGATTCTGTAGTGCAGGGCATGATACTCTGTTGGGGAAGCAGTCCTTGTTCTCACCACTGAAGTTTGGAAAATCACCTTTGGGAAGTGACTCTGTACCCTGGGCATTTCCTTGTGCTTCTTGGATAATGAGGATTTTTTTTTTTTAATTTTTATCATTCCAGTTCAAAAGGATCAGTGGTCAGTAGAGAAAAGATGCCTTGAGCAAGTAAGCAAGAAAAGGGGTGTAAAAGATGATCTTCCTGGAGGAACAAAGGTTTATGCCCCTTCATCCCCATATCATGGCCCTTCCTTACCCCCCCCAATCTGACCCAGAACCATTTCCTTGATGGGCAGCACAAAGCTTACAAGGGCCACATTGTCAGAATTGTACATGAGGCTGTTCTTTGATCACTAAAACCATCTACAGGACTGTTATCAGGTACGGCATCCTCTCTTTTTTATATTATTTCAAGATTTATTTATTTACATATTAATTTATTTCAATTTTAGTGAGTTTTTGACAGCTTCAGTGTACTTTATTGATACAATTCTAAGAACGTGGGGTCGGCGCCGTGGCTCACTTAGTTAATCCTCTGCCTGTGGCACCAGCATCCCATCTGTCAAAAAAAAAAAAAATTCTAGAACATAATGATCCTCCCGTCCTCCCTCCCTACCCCTCTCTCCTCCCTCCTTCCTTCTCCCTTTTTTAAAAATTTTTATAACATTTTTAATCTTCATTATAGTAAAAAGGCATAATACTTTTTTAATTTATTTATTTGACAGGTAGAGTTACAGTCAGTGAGAGAGAGAGACAGAAAGGTCTTCCTTCCGTTGGTTCACTCCCCAAATGGCCGCCATGGCTGGTGCTGAGCCGATCCGAAGCCAGGAGCCAGGCGCTTCTTCCTGGTCTCCCATGTGGGTGCAGGGGCCCAATCACTTGGGCTATCCTCCACTGCCCTCCTGGGCCACAGCAGAGAGCTGGACTGGAAGAGGAGCAACCGGGACTAGAACCCGGCACCCATATGGGATGCCGACCAAGTGAGGATTAACCAAGTGAGCCACGGCACCAGCCCCCCGAATAAGAAGTTTAACAAGTAAAAAGCAAAAATACCCTAAATTATGGCACCCTCTTGTTAAGGATCACACCAGGCGATCCAGGTGCCTGCCTGCCTGCCTTCCATCCATGCCACATGAGAACTTGCAAGACTTCACCCTAGTGTCTCAATTTCACCTGTAAGGGTGGATCTTCCAGCTTTGATCTTCATGGGTTTCTGAAGCATGGTAGATCTGCCCCAGGCAGCTCAGGATCCAGATGGCAGTCCTGGACTCCGCACCAGGGTTAGACTTTTGAGAATGCACAATGACCTTCACAGAATGTTTTTTAGCCAAAATTGTGCATAAACTTACCCTGAAAATAGAGACCATGAGGGAAGACAACAATTACTTATACTAATGGGGTCTAAAAAAATGAGGTGACCCCTCTACAGGTCAATTGAGACATTTGACTGTTTTTTTAAAGTACAGATAATATCAAAATAAAAAAAAATGTTCACTCCAGCCCTCTCCCTTTATCATACTTCTAGCATCCTGTCCTGAGTTACACCAATGATACTGCAGTGTGTGAAGCATGGGGTTGCTAAAGAATGGAGATTCTAGTGGTTGTGATGTGGCCAAATTGTGGAGAATGAAAGTGAACACTATAGTAGAGGTGATTATGACTCTATCAATAACAACATCATATAAAAACAAAGAGTTGGGGCCAGCCCTGTGGCATAGTAGGTTAAGCCTCTGCCTGCAGTGCCAGTATCCTATATGGGCACCAGTTCAAGACCCAGCTGCTCCACTTCCAATCCAGCTCTCTGCTTACGGCCTGGGAAATCAGTGGAATGTGTGCTTGGGCCCCTGAACCCATGTGGGAGACCCAGAAGAAGCTCCTGGCTCCCAGCTCCAGTCGTTGTGAGCATTTGGGGAATGAACAAGCAGATGGAAGACCTCTCTCCCTCCCTCTCTTCCTCTCTCTCTCTGTAACTCTGCCTCTCAAATAAGTCTTTAACAATAACATAAAGAGGGCCAGCGCCACTGCTCACTAGGCTAATCCTCCACCTTGCGGCGCGGTCACACCGGGTTCTAGTCCCAGTCGGGGCACCGGATTCTGTCCCGGTTGCCCCTCTTCCAGGCCTGCTCTCTGCTGTGGCCAGGGAGTGCAGTGGAGGATGGCCCAAGCCCTTGGGCCCTGCACCCCATGGGAGACCAGGATATGTACCTGGCTCCTGCTGGCCGCAGCGCGCCGGCCGCGGCAGCCATTGGAGGGTGAACCAACAGCAAAAGGAAGACCTTTCTCTCTGTGTCTCTCTCTCACTGTCCACTCTGCCTGTCAAAAAAAAAAAAAAAAAGAGTCTATATTTTCTGTCACTGACATAGCTAATTACCATAATTCCAGTGGCTGGATAGAGCACACATTTGTCATTTCCCAGGTCCTTCCACCAGGAGTCTGGTGCAGGTCTCACCTGGATAAACCAAGGTCAAGGCTGCATTCCTTTCTGGGGGCAAGAACATGTGGTCCCTTGCTCATTTATTTTTTGGCAGAATTCAGGCTCTTGCAGTGGAGAGACTGAGGTCTCGTTGGCATTGTCTGTGAGCCCAGGACTCATACAGCCTCTGAGTCTAGAAACCGCCTGGGTGCCTGAGCTCAGAGTCCCCTTCCTCCACCTGCAACACCTGCAGCAGAAGGAGAACCTGTCACACCTGGACTCTCTTCTGCCTCTGCTTCTGGCTGGCAATTTCTCTGACTCCTGCATTTGAGGGCTGTTATGTTTAGATGAGACCTATGTGGAGAAACCAGAAGCTTCCCGTTTAAAGTCGGCTGGTAAACATCCTTAATTCCACCCTACACCTGGTGACCTGGTGCCAAGGAAAGGAACACTCACAGGTTCCAGGGACTAGGGCATGGATATCTATGGGGTCTTTTTTATGTGCGCCTGCGCCATGGTGTAACGGCGCACTAAACAACAACTGCCACTCTCGATTAAGAATCATCATCCACCTATAAATGCCCATGAGAAATCTGCTTTAAATATAAATCGATGTGTTCGATGGAAAAGAACAGCAGAAGACAAACCGTGCTAATCACAAGAAAGCTGAACAGAGGAGAGTGAAGTTTGCAAAAGGGCAGACGACGGAACTCGGAAAAAACGGTCAGAATCCGCATCAGGAGCGCCGTGGGACACAGCCACGGGGTTACAACATACACACACTTGACCAGGAGCAGAACGCCGAAACTCTGCACAGAGCGCAGCGGCTCAAGCTCGCCCTCGACGCGTCCACTGCCCCGAGCACGGGGCGTCTTGGCGCTATGGTGCTCCCCGGGGAACACGGCCCGCCTTGTCCCGAGGCGTCCAGTTTGCGTGTCTGGACCCGTGTGAGAGTTCCCTGAGGGGCAGAGCAAGGGGCTCGCCCTCGTTTCTCCTAGCTGCGCCCTGTGTCCTGCAGAGAAGCAGCGGCACGGGCGCAGGAGAGGCAGTGCGCAGCCGGGCTGCCCGAGGGCTCCACGCAAGCCGCCGGCGTCGCGGCTCCCCCGGCGGTGGCGCTTCCACCCCGGCCTCGGTGCTCTCAGGAGCGGGATCGCGAAGCCGGCTCCAGGGCTCAGCGCCCTCGCTGGCAGCCCCACAAGCGCACGCGGATCCCCGGCGCTGCGCTCGCCCTGGTCCCCACTTCCCAGAAGGAGGCGGCGGCGGCATGAGAAGCAGCTGCGCCGACAGGCACGCGTTAGGGCCGCGACGCGGACCCTGGACGACTAGGACCGAGCTTCCACGGAGAGCGCGAGGACCAAGCACTGCTGGGAGGAGCGGGCAGCACGCCGACCGCGGGCTGTCCAGGAGCAGGAAAGGGGCGCAGGGAGAGCCCGGCGGTGCTGCATGGGAGACGTCAGCGGAATAGAGTCCCAGGACAGCGACGCTAGGGCTGGGCTTGTTTGAGAACCCGACCAGAAGCCAGGCGCGCACTCCTTGTATGCGCCCTGAACAGTCTTGGATGAGGTGGAGCACTGGGGAGAGCCGGTTGACATAGGTCCGGGGGCAATACGGACACGAGCCCAGGTCTCCGCCGACATAAATCTGGTCGTTTCCAACCAGTGGGGACCGCCACGCCCTGCTCCTTGCTGGGAACTTCCGCCCACACCTCTTGAGAGACAGAGTTGGGGCAAAGGCTCC